TAACGACATACAAAATACTGAGAGGGATTTACAAAGTGGATAAAGACAGAATGTTCCAGAGATGGGACACAGCAACAAGGGGACACAGTTGGAAGTTGAAGACACAGATGAATCACAGGGATGTTAGGAAGTATTTCTTCAGCCACAGAGTAGTCAGTAAGTGAATAGTTTGGGAAGCGATGTAGTGGAGGCAGGATCCATACATAGCTTTAAGCAGAGGTATGATAAAGCTCACCGTTCAAGGAGAGTGACCTAGTAGCGACCAGTGAAGAGGCGGGGCCAGGAGCTAGGACTCGAGCCCTGCAACCTCAACTAGGTGAGTACAACTAGGTGAGTATATATACACACACACACACACACACACACACTACACACACACACACACACACACACACACACACACACACACACACACACACACACACACACACACACACACACACACACACACACACACACACACACACACACACACACACACACACACACACACACAATACCTGACAGTGATACAACAGCGAGTCATGGTACGTGATGAGGTATCACTGTGGGCGCCTGTGACGAGCGGGGTCCCACAGGGGTCAGTCCTAGGACCAGTGCTATTCTTGGTATATGTGAATGACATGATGGAAGGGTTAGACTCAGAGTGTCCTTATTTGGAGGAGAATTAAATCAGATGAGGCCCAGACAGGTCTACAATGGAACCTAGACAGACTGGACGCGTGGTCGAGCAACTGACTCCTAGAATTTAACCCTGCCAAATTCAAAGTCATGAAGATCGGGGAAGGGCAAAGAAGACCGCAGACAGAGTATAGGCTAGGCGGCCATAGACTGCAAACCTCATTCAAGGAGAAAGATCTAGGGATGAGTATAACACCGAGCACGTCTCCGGAATCCCACATTAACCAAATAACTGCTGCAGCATATGGGCACCTGGCAAACCTGAGAATAGCGTTCCGGTACCTGAGCAAGGAATCGTTCAAAACTTTATACACTGTGTACGTCAGGCCCATACTGGAGTACGCAGCACCAGTTTGGAACCCACACCTGGTCAAGCACGTCAAGAAATTAGAAAATGTGCAAAGGTTTGCAACAAGGCTGGTTCCAAAGTTAAGGGGATTGTCCTACAGAGAAAGGTTAAAGGAAATCGGTCTGACGACACTGGAAGACAGGAGGGTCAGGGGTGACATGATAACGACATACAAAATACTGCGTGGAATCGATAAGGTGGACAGAGACAGGATGTTCCAGAGATGGGTCACAGAAACAAGGGGTCACAATTGGAAGTTGAAGACTCAGATGAGTCAAAGGGATGTTAGGAAGCATTTCTTCAGCACAGAGTTGTTTGGAAGTGGAATAGTCTGGCAAGTGATGTAGTGGAGGCAGGAACCATATATAGTTTTAAGACGAGGTATGATGAAGCTCATGGAGAAGGGAGAGGGAGGATCCAGTAGCGGTCAGTGAAGAGGCGGAGCCAGATGCTGAGTCTAACCCCTGCAACAAAACTAAGTGAGTACAATTAGGTGAGTACACACACACACACACACACACACACACACACACACAACACACACACACACACACACACTTATTCCCAGCATAAGCCTTTTTCTTTCTTTCTCCAGGGGAGCCAAATTCTATAATACATGCGATAACATCAAAGAACCTCTTCCATTATATATGAAAATTTGTCTGAAATCTTAGGGATAAAACCTCTAGAACGGAGAGAAATGTCTGAAGATCTGCCCTCCTTCATTCTTCCTCCAGGAGGTACTCACGTCTCTTCCAGGAGGTACCCACGCCTCTTCCAGGAGGTACTCGCATCTCTTCCAGGAGGTACCTCACGTCTCTTCCAGGAGGTACCTCACGCTTCTTCCAGGAGGTACCTCACGCCTCCTCTAGGAGATACCTAACAAAACCATTAATGCTCTGACTAATTAATCTCATTTACTTCACGTTTCACTCTAATAATTTCGTGTATAAGCCGGAGGAATGGTGGCTGTTGTTGTCATGAGTGGCGATTGTTGTGCTGGAGACGGGTTTTGTAAGTGATGGAGACAGGGAAGGTGGTGATAGTAGAGGAGATGAGGATTCTTGATAATGGAGACAAGGTGGATGGTGATGGAGGAGATGAGGATTGTTGGTGATGGAGACAAGGAGGGTGGTGATAGTAAAGGAGATGAGGATTGTTGGTGATGGAGACAAGGAGGGTGGTGATAATACAGGAGATGGGGATTGTTGGTGATAAAACAGGAGATGAGGATTGTTGGTGATGGAAACAAGGAAGATAAATATAGTAAAGGAGATTGGGATTGTTGATGGTGCTGATAAGGTAGGTAGTGATAGCAGTTTACAACTATACCTCACTCTGTTATTCCACTGGTGTCAGCACAAGAGTACGATTCGCCAGCGATCTGAAAGGTCATCCCTACGACTGTTGCACGGAAACTAAATTAATAAAAAAAAAATAAGTTGAAATTTACGTAAATTAATATTTCCGCAAATTAAAATCTACGCTACAAGTTTGAAGCCTACCAGAGGATGCACTCTTCAGTTTTCAAAAAGAATCCAATAATTCCAAGCTTATTAACTATGTTACTAAATCGAAAAATTTGTATCCACAGAGACTAAACCCTACAGGTATTATAATTTTCATAAAATGCATCAGGCATTCAAGGTTGAAGTCGTTCGGAAGATGCATACACAAGTGATTTCGGTGAGAAAAAGCACTTACCATTTTAATAATTGCCAAATTAGCACTTGCACTCTCTAAAAACCATCCCAGCCTTCATCTAAGCACTGTAGGATACACCAGTAATGAAAGTTTGAAACCGATCAGCAAAGGCTTTCTCAAGTTACCGCACTGAAACTTAATTCGGAAATTGTCTATGAAATATTGACTAGAGGGTACACGCATATACCGGTAACTGCACGACGCTTTCCCTCGTTACAGTGCACCAGTGTTGAAATTTTGAAGCCGATCAGATGAGAAATTCTCTAGCTACAAACGAAAACATTGGAGGAAGGAAAGAAATCAGGTAACCACGTAAATTTCATCTCATCAGTTGTCCTCAGCCTTCCTACGCAAGTGAACCCAAAAGTGAACCACATTTGATTGTCAAACATGTGATGAGAACCACACGGTATTGTTGACACTGTACAATGTGGAACCTACATAAAAGTGAATTAATAATATCATGTGAGGGCCGTATTCTTTTCCAAGAAGGGCCACATGCGGCCCGCGGGCCGCAGGTTAGGGAACCATGAGTCCTAAGTAACACTTCATGGATACAGAGCAGAGTGCGCTGCACTCAACGTGTTTTTCAACGCAAAAATAAAAAAAATTAACACACGCAACAAATTTATTAGACACACGCGAGCGTTATATATCAGGAATATGTCATGCAATATTTTAAACATATGCCCAAATCAACGTTGTATATTTTGTGTTTACGCCTCTTTTGGACACATTGCTGCACCCGCAACCAATATATCTGACGAACCCGGCGGATTTGTCGCAACCTGACTGCAGGACGGAATGTGCCAAAATCCCTAGATGGGATTTTGCTCTTTGATAAACGCTCATGAACTTCTGATTTACACTCAGTATCGCACGGAAATGCATCAAAACCACGACGGTGAACAGCCAACGTACACAAAAACATACACAGAGGTGTAGTCACAAGCAGGGGCACACGCACGTACGTACAAGCGACTGGATGTACGTTTGTTCGAAAAGTCATTACGTACACACTCACACACGCTCAATACATTTTCTAAATATCAAACACTGAAGCAGAGAAAATGCTGTTTTTCTATCATCGGTGAACACAAGCATGAATGCCACACAACACAAAAATTGTATACACAATCGAAACTTCTCTCCCTCTCCTCTCTAACATCACCCGCTCTGCCTGCCTGTCTGTCTATGAATCTGTCTGCTTGCTTGTATAATATCTGTCTGTCTGTCTCTCTCTCTTTCTGGCTCTACTCTAGCAATAGATTAGTTACAGACGGAATAACGAACAAGTATACTCTTTAATTATTAATTAATGGTATACACGTAGGAAGAAAGGTAAAGTTAAAACCAATGGTGGTTTAGAAAGACACGTAAGCAAACACTATAACATATTTATTAGAAAACGTTTCGGTCCTGGGACCTTGATCACTTCTAACATACATCAAGGTCCCAGGACCGAAACGTTTTCTAATAAATATGTTATAGTGTTTGCTTACGTGTCTTTCTAAACCAACTTGTCGGTATTTATTACCAAGGTTTATACCAAAACCAATGGTAGATCACAGTTTTCATAATATTAACATTATGTAATACCAGCAAGTTGAAGAATAAGACACATTTTTTAATATATATATATATATATATATATATATATATATATATATATATATATATATATATATATATATATATATATATTATATATATATATATATATATAATATATATATATATATATATATATATATATATATATATATATATATATATATATATATATATATATATATATATATATATATATATATATATATATATATATATATATATATATATGGTGTATATACACCTGGCCTGACCGCGATAGAGCATGCGAGGCCCTACTGTGGCACAACACGGAGTCACGAGCCCACAATAGCGGCCAGCCTCTGTTATATGACGGGAGAAGTGAGTTATGGGGCCATATGTTACGCTCGGCCGTGTTAGGGAAGCAGATATATACGCAAAACGTAGCAGCTGGGACACGTTCCAGCAACATGTACGCAGAGCGTAACAATTCCACCGTACTGGGGAATCCGATTTATTTAGAACCCTTTAAAAGAAGTGTCTTGATGCTGGTAAAGGGCTGTTTATCCAAGGAATCGGAGTTACTCTAACACTTCCTGTTATTAAACCACCTCATTTCCACACATCACATGGTTTCTCCTCACAACCATTTACCTTCTCCCTAACCACCACTTCCTCTCCCTCACCTTCACAGATCCGGACATCACGCGGGGAGACGGCGTTTACACGCGGTACGCTCCGCCTCTGGACGGACCTGCCCGCTACGCTCTCCTGCTCACTGTGGACGCTGGCAAAGCTGTGTTGGCCTTAGCACAGACGCACGTCAGAGATCACGACCTCAGACACCACAGACACGCCTATACCAAGGAGGTGAGTTTATGATACACCACAGACACCACTCCCTTCATCTCTCTCTCTCTCTCTCTCTCTCTCTCTCTCTCTCTCTCTCTCTCTCTCTCTCTCTCTCTCTCTCCTCTCTCTCTCTTCTCTCTCTCTCTCTCTCTCTCTCTCTCTCTCTCTCTCTCTCTCTCTCTCTCTCTCTCTAGTTTCCATGCAGTTACGCGAGTACATTTGCACTTTATCATGCTTGCTTACTTTTCCATTTGGCACACAAGTTTCCATACATTTATTTATATGTAAAATATTCCATCTGTTTTGACACGGAGTTTATATGAGCGAATCTATGTTTACTGGCCGCTGGTGTGCATTTATTACGCGATACAACGCAGTAAGCTGTGAGGGGTGTATATAAATAGTTGATCGAATGTATATAAGCACTTGAGGGAGTGTATGTAGGTACGTGAGGGAGTGTTATGTGCGCATGTGAGGGTGAGTACTTATGCTCCTTATTGAATGTTTGTCCTCAAGTGAGAATAATAAATTACTACGGTTGTGTGAATTCAAAATCAGAATAACACACTACATCTCACTTCAAAGAGATGATTTTTGTGGGGGATTGCAATGAATTCAGGCTAGTTATGCAAACGTATCTTTCAGTACACGTGATCCCTCACTGACAACGTTTCGCCCACACAGTGGACTTTATCATGCCACAAGCAGATTATATGTTTGTGACATGAAAAAGCCCGCTGTGTTGGCGTAACGTTGTCAATAAAGAATTGCAGTAACTACATTTTCTCTCTCTTTTACCATCCTGCCGATATTTTATACCGTTTATCTCCATAAGGGTAAATTGCCTCATTAATAATATATCCCACCCATTTAGCATCCAAATTTCTTTTCGAAATTCTATTTTAAAAAAATCCATCTATTTATTACTCAGAACATTCAACAAAGGGTTTCCCATGGCCATACCGAATTTTTAAAATAAAAAAAATCATTAAATCTAAACTTTTAGTTAAAAAATAAACTGTTAATATTGCATTTCAAGATCAATAGTCTGTATACAATATTTAATATCATAATAAAAAAAATTGAACATCATCAGTGTACACTTTTCCTTATGCAAACTCACCGTGTATGTCAACAATAAAATATAATAATTTATTCACAATTTTTCATTACATTAATGTTATACACTTCATATAAGTTGAAGAATTAGATTCAACACCATCCAGGCTGAGGGACTAATTACCTCATCTTCTACGATCTGCAGTTCATAAACTGTATTGAAATGAGAAAGGATTTGGTTGGCGAAACGTCGTCATGATAAAGATACTCAGGTGTTGCACTTGAGTCTAACTCTTCTGATTTTATTCAGTAAAGAGTGATAATCCAGCTTCAATAAAACCTCATAATAAAAGCATCCAAGTAAAATAATAATAATAATAATGATAATAATAATAATAATAATAATAATAATAATAATAATAATAATAATAATAATAATAATAATAATAATAACAATAAAAGCATTTTATCAGACGAAACTTTTTACACTGAATGGCCTACACTTGTATATTTTTCACATCTGATGGCAAACTTAATAAAGAACAATAAATAGCTATAGTTGAAGTAAGTAAAAAGTACATCCGTCTACAAAAAAAAAATAAAAATTTGGTTCCCATTTATTAAATCATACTTTACTTAAGCCTCCCCCCCCCCGTCTCAGACCCGTAAAACAACTTAATTCCCAAATCTAAAAAAATCTCAGGTCGAGCTTCACACTCCCACAGGTTACTTTATCGTCCGAGTCAAAGCCTTTTAAATCTCTTTATCTCTAGCTCCTACACCCGAGAATCTTTACCTGTCTCCTTCAAGCCTTTTCCTATCTCCTAAAGTAAAAGAGCTTTGCAAAACCGTCACATATCTCGTTACACTCGTCGCCTATCTCTTTTTTATAGCTTTCCCCTATTTCGTTACTGTTTTCTTTCACCTCTTTATAGCGATATGGCTTCAATTTTCGCCTATATCTCTTTTGAGCATTAACCTATCTCTCTACACTGTTCGCCTATATCTTTACCTATCTCCTTTCCTATCCAAAGTGTCTTCCACTGTCTCCTGAGAACCTTACCCATCTCCTCTAACCTTTGATCAAGAACCTTGTAGCTTACACCTATCTTCTCACAAACTTCAATTGTCTCTTTGGAGCCTCCGCCTATCTCCTCAGATCAAATAGTTATCTCCTCGCAGTCTTCACCTGTCTCCTCACCTACCTCCTCGCAGTCTTCACCTGTCTCCTCACCTACCTCCTCGCAGTCTTCACCTGCCTCCTCACCTACCTCCTCGCAGTTTTCACCTGTCTCCTTACCTACCTCCTTACAGTCTTCACCTGCCTCCTCACCTACCTCCTTGCAGTCTTCACCTGCCTCCTCACCTACCTCCTCGCAGTCTTCACCTGCCTCCTCACCTACCTCCTCGCAGTCTTCACCTGTCTCCTCACCTACCTCCTCGCAGTCTTCACCTGCCTCCTCACCTACCTCCTAGCAGTCTTCACCTGCCTCCTCACCTACCTCCTCGCAGTCTTCGCCTTTCTCCTCACCTACCTCCTCGCAGTCTTCACCTGCCTCCTCACCTACCTCCTAGCAGTCTTCACCTGCCTCCTCACCTACCTCCTCGCAGTCTTCACCTGCCTCCTCACCTACCTCCTCGCAGTCTTCACCTGTCTCCTCACCTACCTCCTCGCAGTCTTCACTTGTCTCCTCACCTACCTCCTAGCAGTCTTCACCTGCTCCTCACCTACCTCCTCGCAGTCTTCGCCTTTCTCCTCACCTACCTCCTCGCAGTCTTCGCCTGTCTCCTCAACTACCTCCTCGCAGTCTTCACCTGTCTGCTCACCTACCTCCTCGCAGTCTTCACCTGTCTACTCACCTACCTCCTCGCAGTCTTCACCTGTCTCCTCACCTACCTCCTCGCAGTCATCGCCTGTCTCCTCACCTACCTCCTCGCAGTCTTCACCTGTCTCCTCACCTACCTCCTCGCAGTCATCGCCTGTCTCCTCACCTACCTCCTCGCAGTCTTCACCTGTCTCCTCACCTACCTCCTCGCAGTCTTCACCTGTCTCCTCACCTACCTCCTCGCAGTCTTCACCTGTCTCCTCACTACCTCCTCGCAGTCTTCACCTGTCTCCTCACCTACCTCCTCGCAGTCTTCACCTGTCTCCTCACCTACCTCCTCGCAGTCTTCACCTGTCTCCTCACCTACCTCCACGCAGTCTTCACCTGTCTCCTCACCTACCTCCTCGCAGTCTTCACCTGTCTCGGGCGTCAGATGAGCTGATGGAATAAACCATTTAACAAATAGACGATTTCTAGCTGGCATATACTTAATTAGAATCAGCTAAATATCTTTGCTGTAAGCCAACTTTTATTCTTATAAATAATAATAATAATAATAATAATAATAATAATAATAATAATAATAATAATAATAATAAAAATAATAATTATAATAATAATAATAATAATAATAATAATAATAATAATAATAATAATAATAATAATAATAATAATAATAATAATAATAATGGTAATAATAATAATAATAATAATAACAATAACAACAACAGCAACAACAACAACAACAACAACAATTTCACTACTACTACTACTACTACTACTACTACTACTGCTAATAATAACTATTTAATTATTATTATTATTATTATTATTATTATTATTATTATTATTATTATTATTACCACCATTTTAAAAGTAACGCTAAGTAAAGGAAATTAAATATACCATAACTTTATTATTTATATATTATAAATACTAGCAATAATAATGGCAATAAATAAAAAATATATATAGAGCTAATTAATTCTATAAAGGTATTAATAGATGAGAAAAAAAATAACGCCTATTATCAAAAGCAATTAACGGTATGTAATTATAGCAATTTTTTTCGCATTAGGGGATTAAATGTTGTTTCGGACATTTGTTGTTAAGGGCCATTAAGGTTACATGTAATCTGTTTACCACAAGTCAATGATATTTAAATCCCTGAAGCGGGATTAAAGTGAACTGTCTTTGTATATACACAGGCACATTCATTTTTCGATGTATATACACTGAGTGATGCACGACTTTATGTTGGAATTAGACACATGTACAACACAAAGGTATTGTTATTTGATAGAAGGATACACAGGTGTCGAATAAAGATCACAGGTGTCGAATAAAGATCACAGGTGTCGAATACAGATATCAGGTGTCGAATAAAGATCACAGGTGTCGAATACAGATATCAGGTGTGGAATAAAGATACCCAGGTGTTGCACATGTGTTAATTTCTCATTTTATAAGTATTGTATATCATTATTGTAATGTTGTATCTCGTATAGAGACATACACTTCTCGGTATACACAGAGACATACGCTTCTCGGTATGAATAGAGACATACACTTCTCGGTATGAACAGAGACATACACTTCTCGGTATGAACAGAGACATACACTTCTCGGTATGGACAGAGACATACACTTCTCGGTATGAATAGAGACATACACTTCTCGGTTGAAATTGAGACATACACTTTCTCGGTATACACAGAGCATACGCTTCTCGTATGAACAGAGACAATACACTTCTCGTTGACACAGAAACATACGCTTCTCGGTATGAACAGAGACATACACTTTCTCGGTATACACAGAGACATACGCTTTTTCGGTATGAACAGAGACATACACTCCGGTATGAAAGAGCATACACTTTCGATATGAACAGGAATACACTTCTCGGTATGAATAGAGACATACACTTCTCGGTAGTGGACAGAGACATGCACTTCTCGGTATGAACAGGACATACACTTCTCGGTTATACACAGAGACATACGCTTCTCGGTATGAACAGAGACATACACTTCTCGGTATGAACAGAGACATACACTTCTCGGTATGGACAGAGACATACACTTCTCGGTATGAATAGAGACATACACTTCTCGGTATGGACAGAGACATGCACTTCTCGGTATGAACAGAGACATACACTTCTCGGTATACACAGAGACATACGCTTCTCGGTATGAACAGAGACATACACTTCTCGGTATGAACAGAGACATACACTTCTCGGTATGGACAGAGACATACACTTCTCGGTATGAATAGAGACATACACTTCTCGGTATGGACAGAGACATGCACTTCTCGGTATGAATAGAGACATACACTTCTCGGTATGGACAGAGACATGCACTTCTCGGTATGAATAGAGACATACACTTCTCGGTATAGGACAGAGACATGCACTTCTCGGTATGGACAGAGACATACACTTCTCGGTATGAATAGAGACATACACTTCTCGGTATGGACAGAGACATGCACTTCTCGGTATGGACAGAGACATACACTTCTCGGTATGAATAGAGACATACACTTCTCGGTATGGACAGAGACATGCACTTCTCGGTATGGACAGAGACATACACTTCTCGGTATGGACGGTGACATACACTTCTCGGTATAAACAGAGACTTACACTTCTCGGTATAGACAGAGATATACACCTGCCTCTAAGATGAACACCTTACCGTTCCCTTGAAAGAATCACTTAACTAATTAACATGATTCGTTGCGTAACTGCGTGTCCCAGCAGCTGGCCTTCGGTGGCTTTGAGGACGACAGGTCGTGGGCGTCTCCCTCCTGCTGTGGTACTGTCGTCCCCTACGCCCATACGCGGGAGTCGCCACCTTTCACACGACAGGTTACAGGACCTACGCTCGATATCCTTGAGGGTCATGTTGTCAGCAGAGACAAGATTCCTCCTGCCAAGTAAGTTGTGCGTGTGTGTGTGTGTGTGTGTGTTTGTGTGTTTGTGACTTTACATATATAATCACTCATTATCAGTTACCTGTGTGTAATTTAACAACATCTACGCTGATACCACTGACCAGGCAGCCTCATAATGAACATTTGTTTACACCGTCAGAGAACATTCAGAATACTTACATTTGTACTCAGAGAAAAATGCTAATTTCGTAATGGATCATTCAGCGCCTGGGGAATGGGAGGTAATGTGGGTTGATCCGAGGGACGCTCCAGTTTCTCGGAACAAGAGCCCTTCACCATCACCAAGGTACCCTTCCCTAGAAGGGAGGAATTAATGTGATTGTGGTAATGTTAGGCGGTCACATGAAAATTAATGGGCTTGGTATATTATATGATTGGTTTGACGATTATTATAATTATTATTATTATTATTATTATTATTATTATTATTATTATTATTATTATTTTATTATTATTTTATTATTATATTATTATTATTATTATTATTATTATTATTATTATTATTATTATTATTATTATTATTATTATTATTATTATTATTATTATTATTATTATTATTATTATTATTTATTATTATTATTATTATTATTATTATCATAAGTAAGTGCAAAGCCTGTATAGGCCATACAGCTCCTGAGGAATAGAAGGTGAGAGGGATTAATCTAAAGAAAGTGAAAGAGTCTTTAATGTATGAAGAAGATATGAATTATTTGAGCATCAACAAACACAAATAAAAAAAAATATGCAGGTCTTATTAATTCCAATTTAATGCTGTGGACTAATTCATTTAGTAACGTTGCTATAGTAAAATAAATAGATATGTAGGATTTTGCTGATCACATAAAACTTCTTCAATTGGCTTTGCTTTAGATGTTTCATCAGCTTTTCTCCAGTGACTTAAGACCTTTAACAATACTCGTTAGTGAAACCGGCCTATAATGTATGCTTGAGAGAGAGAGAAAGAAAGGGAGAGAGAGACAGAGAGAGAGAGAGAGAGAGAGAGAGAGAGAGAGAGAGAGAGAGAGAGAGAGAGAGAGAGAGAGAGAGAGAGAGAGAGAAGAGAGAGAGAGAGGGAGAGAGAGAAGAGGTAGAGAGAGAGAGAGAGAGTGAGAGAGAGAAACGAAGAGAGACAGAGAACACCACTAGGAAGGGCCCAACATTACCTTGTCAAGAGTCCCAGCTAAGTGGAGGTTATACAGAGCTGACTAATTAACCTGCCCAGCCAGTGTAAACAAGAAAGTATTCGGTAGTCGTTTATTACGAATTAAATTGAGTTCGTAGGCCATAGGGTTTTGAGGAAGGTAAGGATAAATTTACTGCGAAGTTCTGTTTTCAGATCGTCCCTATTAGAATTTCCGTAGCTCATCAATAAAGCACTGGACCTTCCAGTCCCAAGACCACGGTTCAATTCCCCCATTTATCTCTCTGCTTCTATATATATCACGATATCATGGAAATGTGAGAAATCACAAATGAGGGCCAATACTTGTTTATGGTGGTTGTCTGCATATTTAATATCACCTGTTACATAAATCATATTCCGATGTGTTTTTGGTTATACTGGAGTGTTATGGAAGGGTTTCCGGGGGTCAAGGCAACCGTGGCCAGTCTGTGCCAGACCTCCTTAGGAATCAGTGTCCCAAGATGCGACCACACCAGTCCGACAACACGTACCCATTTATCTGATGTGGAACATAGACATACAGGTGGAAAGAGAAACACGATAAGTGTTTCTACTTGTGTTAGGAATTGAACCAGATATCACCGTGTGTAGCTGATGACGTTAACCACAGTGGTTCTGGTTTTTTTTTTTTTTTTTTGCGTTCATGTTATATCTTAGTTGGAGGAGAGTGTACTCATAGAAATTGGTAATCGTCTTCGTTATAGTGATTTGAGGGGATTTGTGTGAAAATGGTGTTAGTCTGTTATGTTGATCTTAGTTTATGGTGATTTTGGTGGTGGTTTTGACTGTATTCAGTGGTGTTTTAGTAGTATTCAGTGGTGTATTTGGGAGTACTCAAAATTATATTTTGGAAGTGTTTCAGTGTTGTTTGGAAATGTTCAAAGGTATTTTTGTGAGTATTCAAATGATTTATGAGAGTGCTTTTGAAGGTGTTCAAAGTAAAGTGAGGTGTGTGTGCATATTAACTTCGTAATATGTAAAATTGTGACTAGTGAATTTATCGAAAAGTGGTTATAAGTTGTAAGTGTTGTGGTGACTTTTTCTGATGAAATAGTTAAAACGAGAAAAATGTCTAGACTTGTGTTGTATTTTGTAAAGAAATTGTGGATTGTTGTGGGTATTAACGAAAAAAAATGTGAAATTATTTGGGTTATCCTGGGTTAAGAGTGAAAAATGTGTAGGGGGAAGTCGACAAGATTCAGCCTGTGTGTGTGGGGTCATCACGTGACGTCACTGACATAGGGGGAAGTCGACAAGATTCAGCCTGTATGTGTGAGGTCATCACGTGACGTCACTGACCGCCGAGTAAACACAGGTGGGGTGACATCACACTTGTTTAGACCTGTAGTAAGAGAAAGTACCATGCCCCATAGGAGGAGTTCATTTGAATGCTTACCCCCAGAGGGGAGAATCCAAAAACTTGATCCAAGGAGATGGAGTCTTGGTATTATCGAGAAAAACTTGATCCAAGGAGATGCAGTCTTTGATTTCGAGAAAAACTTGTTCCGAGGAAATGGAGCAGGGAATTTGAGATGCAAGTGGGAGTCCATTTTGAATGCTTACCCCCACTGGGGGGAATCCAAAAAACTTGATCCAAGGAAGTAGAGCAGGAATATTTGGGGTGAAAGTGGGAGTCCATTTTGAATGCTTACCCCCAGAGGGGGGAATTCAGAGAACTTGATCTGAGGAGACCATAAGAAAATGAAATTCAAAAAAAAATCGAAAAAAAATTGGGATGGGGTGAAAGTGGGAGGGGGAACCTCAAAAATTTGATCTGAGGAGATGGAGAGCACAAGAAAATAAAATTCAAAAAAAAAATCGAAAAAAATCGGAAAAAATTCGGGGAGCGGGGGCGATCCGGACGACGCTGCAGAAGGCGCTGCAGAAGGCGCGGGCGGGCGCGCAGGCGCAGAAGGAGTCCGCTCAGGAAAGGGAGCCACTCAGGAAAAGGAACCACTCAGCCGCAGACCTTTTCAGGAGGAGCCACTCAGCCGTAGGAGCCACTCAGCCGCATTCATCACTACTATATATATATATATATTTTATATATATATATATAATATATATTATATATATATTATATATATATATATATTATATAATATATAATATATATATATATATATATATATATATATTTTATATATATATATAAATATATTTATATATATATATATATATATATATAGTATATATATATATATATATATATATAATATATATATATATATATATATTATTTATTTTATTCCCTTGAAGGTAGAAGATGTAAAGAAGATCTAACAGTATATCATAAGAAGCCCATTAGTGCTAACCTTAGTTTGCACTCGGTTATACTTCCTCTTGAAAACACACACACAAACAAGTTCACTTAATATCGCAATAAATCTGATTTATAGCATTGTCCCTTCATAAAGATAAAATGTACATTTATGAAATGAAGTTCGTGAAGAGAAATTCTTGAAATATTTAAGTTAACGCTTTTATTATAGTTATTTTTATTAGTCACGGGAATCACTAAGCCTCCTCAGAATTATCAAGTGATACTTACGAGTGGGAGGGTGATTAGGTAAGATTAAATCAATCAATCAATCAATCAAGTTTATTCTCTATAAGGGTTACAATGCGGGGTTTACAGATTTTGAATATTGTGTGGTTTACAAGTTTTAAAATACTACTTACAGAGGGGGCCACTAGGACACCTAGCATGGCTAGGCATTTTGGGCAGACTTAGATTAATTCTAAACTTTAAATTATTACAGATTATGGTATTAAAGCTAAGTGACTACATTATAGTTTGTGAGTTTAGCAATGTGAATGCTTTTGTTTTGGCATAATACATAGTGTCTATATTGGAGTATCATAGGAAAACTTATGACTAGTTAGGATTCATTATTTTAAGATTAAGATTCGTATTTCTGTGTTTATAGTCAATGGGTGAGTGTAAGTGTGAATCACCAGGTGGTTTACATGTAGTTAGTTGACGGGGTGTATCGGGGTGTATCAAGAAAGAAGGTTAGCTACAGTTTTTTTAGTCAAGAGTCCCTCACAAACATTAATTCACTCTTCTGAAGGGACGCAATTATGAGCGACTTCATAATGATCCAGTACAGACTGAAATGGGATCTTGTGCTTTATCTCCACTTTATGAGTTGTAAATCGTATCGGCCATGGTATTATGACCTTGTTCTTCAGGATCATGGACCTGGTGGCCTGGGTGAACCACTCCAGCGGACGGGTGGTGCTCGACTGGACAGCGGTGGGCGAGGACAGGGACTGGGGACGTGCTCATGTCTACGAGGGTTACGTAGCTCCTACCAAGTCTCAGGCGGCTCTCAAGTGCACAGGAGAGAGGATCAGAGGACTCCCAGTTCCAGCTCCGGCAACTAACAAGGAGAGGGCGGCCGTCGCTCTCACCGTCCATGAGAAGGTGAAAAATATTTGAGTGTTACTTATGGAGAGGAAGGGACGCCGAGCAGTAGTATGATTTACTTTTCGTTTTTTTTCATCCTAGTGAAAATTTATACTTTTGTTCCAGGAATATATACTGGTAGAAGGCTGAATAATTAATTTATGTTAATCGCTAAATCCATGTGGGTCATTCAAAAAGAAGGTTGAAGAGTTATGAAGGGGCTATGGATGCTAACTCAATTCATATCCTGAGTGTCCGTGGTTTGATCCCCGGCACTGGTGGAAAGGTTGGGCATGTTTCCTTACACCTGCTGTCCTGTTCGCCTAGCTGCGAGTAGGTACCTGGGTGTTAGTGGACTGTTGTGGGTCACTTCCTGGGGGACAAGGTTAAAGAACTCCGATGGAAATAAGACAAACAGTCCCCGATGACGCACTGACTTAACTGAGTAATCCTGAGTGGCTAACCCTGCGGGTTAAAAATTCGAACAAAATCTTATCACCTCAACATGTTTGTTACTTTGCCACCTATATCTCACTGTAACATTTTTTCAATGTGCGGATTCGGAATCTGACCCTCGAATATTTTCAATGTATGTATTACGAGATATATATTTCAGCTTTGTTCCACAGAGGAGAGATCCCAGGCAGTTAAATGCTTTACTGATACTTTACAATCAGTTAAATCTGTATATATTCTAGTTCGAAAGTGTCACAAAGGGATGCTAGCACAGGGCAGTATTCCAAACGAGAGAGCAAACATGCTTTGAAGAATGCCATCAATAGCGCAGTATCGCTTGTTCTAAATGTTCACATCATCCACCCTGTAATTTTACTTTGCCGAGGCTATGAGAGCTTTGATATGCTCTTGATTGTGTCGATAAGGAATCATGTTGACTTTAACTCTATAGTAACAAGTGAACATTTTTACCCTTGGACCACGAGTGTCAAATGTTGCACTTTGTATGTTAGGTCGTTTGTCAGTCATTATTATCACTACCCTTTAATATTTTCATATCCTATAAGTATATATATATATATATATATATATATATATATATATATATATATATATATTATATATATATATATATATATATATATATATATATATATATATATATAATATATATATATATGTCGTGCCGAATATGTAAAACTGGTCAATTAGCAAGAACTCATTTAAAATTAAATCCTTTCTAAAATTTTCTCTTATACGTTTAAAGATATATTATTTTCATTAATGTTAATGTAAAAATTTTTAATTTTGCACCAAAAGAATCTTAGAAAACTTACCTAACCTTATTATAACAAGAACAATTTATTTTAGCCTAACCCAACTAAATACATTTTAGATTTGTTTACAGTAATTTAATACTAAACAAACACAGTGAAATATATTTTTTTCGTTAGGTTCAGAATGATTTTGGCGAAATTATTGCATACACAAATTTTCGCTTGTCCTATATGGCAAGATGAGCGTTGCTATTTAAGCCAAGATCGTAAGTTCTGCCTATTCGGCACGACATATATATATATATAATATATATAGTGTATGGAAAGAAAAAGATAGACATCACTGCTAAGCATAACGTTATATTTCATTGTTCAATGGAAGTTTGTATTAATATGTAATGGCAATAGATTACATTTATGTGAAGCACTAAACTATTGCTGTTCATTCAGCGCAAGCAGTGATGGAAACTGGACCCTCCGTCCGCTGTTCGCGATATAAGCACACTGCTATTTATTATACATTTATCCTTCCCAAGTGATCGAAATTTTGCTGTTTCATTATTATTATTATTGTTATTATTATTATTATTATTATTATTATTAGTAGTAGTAGTAGTAGTAGTAGTAGTAGTAGTAGTAGTAGCAGTAGTAGTAGTAGTAGTAGTAGTAGTAGTAATAATAGTAGTAGTGGTAGTAGTAGTAGTCGTTACAGTTGTTATTATTGTTATTAGAGTCAGTGGGAAGCGTTAAATCCGTAGAGGGTAGGTTATATATCACCTATTACCAGGAAACAAGAAGAAAAGACTCCCATGTATTTGACATTACAGAAGGTGTTGTGGGTGTGTCTGCGTGCGGTAGACAGACACGGTAACCGAGGTCCACCCAGCAACCCTGCAGCTCTTTGGTTGCCTCGACCCCCAGCCACCGATCAGGTCACCATCAGAGCCAGAGGCCCTGGTAAGTTTTGCTGCTTTCAGAGTCTCGTGTAAAGCGCTTAACCTTTGTGGGCTATTCCTCGCCAGGAGTCGCGGAGGCTCGATCCTCCGTCCTGTAAGCTCGGGAAAGACGCGCTGCCTATCAGTAATTTTGTAATACAGGACTATCAAACAATGTTTCACCCAATTGTGACTTGAACAACGCTCACCTTTGGGCGAAACGATGGCAAATAATGGCTTGTTTTGCTAAGTCTTTGATTTATTCTGTTAGTGCAGGCTCGACTCTTCGTTCGCTGTTCGCTAGTTAACAATATATTTAACTTTATTCACCTCAGTTAGGTCTTACACCTAAATCAATCGTCATTATACATGAATAAAAACGAAATGAATCTATATATCGAATTATGTCAAAAATAAGAATCTTGTGATTTAATGTTTATATTAAGATAGTTTTGTGAGTGAGGGGCTTGGACTTCCTGCAAGCATGTGTGAGCGTGTTAGATAGGAGTGAATGGAGACGAATGGTATTTGGGACCTGACGAGCTGTTGCAGTATGAGCAGGGTAATATTTTGTGATGGATTCAGGGAAACCGGTGAGCCGGACTTGAGTCCTGGAAATAGAAAGTGCAATGCCTGCACTTTAAAGGAGGGGTTTGGGATATTGGCAATTTGGAGAGACTTCTGAACTGTCGTATAAGAGCGCCTCTGCAAAGACAGTGATTATGTATGAGAGAGGTGAAAGTGTTGAATGATGATGAAAGTTTTTTCTTTTTGAGGATTTTCTTTCTTTTTGGGTCACCCTGCCTCGGTGGGAGACGACCGACGTGTTAAAAAATTAAGATTTTGATAATGGAAAATGTAATTATTATTATTTTTATATTCATACAGGAGCGATAAATCCATAGGGATGATCAAGTCCCTGGCAATAGGAGGTTATAACCATTGTTATTTTATGTAGTAACCTATATAATAATCTCAGTTGTATGCGTTTATATGAAAACATATCGTTGGACGTTATACATAATTCAGATTTCGAGGTAATGAATGCCATATATTTTATTGTTGTGAAAGCGTATCTGAGGATACTTTAAAAAATCTTTCGACCCATAAGTGTGCTCGTTATACAGGGGGTTTCACTCTTAGGAGGCCCAGAGTTATACTCCCGTAGTTGTAACCGGCTTTTTTGTATATTTCTGAAATAAACGATAACTCGGGGTCTTTTACTTCTAAGAGATCAAGAGTTAGCGTTTAACACATCGGCCGTTTCCCACCAAGGCAGGGTGGCCCGAAAAAGAAAAACTTTCACCATCATTCATTCCATCACTGTCTTGCCAAAGGCGCGCTTACACTACAGTTATGAAACTGCAACATGAACACCCCTCCTTCAGAGTGCAGGCACTGTACTTCAGACATAATATACAACATGATGGTTACTATTACGGGAGTACCAACTCTGGGCCTCCTACGAGTAAAACATCCTGTAGCAGTAGTTATCATAAGCAGTGAATGTGATGTAGGTTGGAGCATTTATTTCCTGACGCTGTCTCTTGTTTCCCGCTTAACAGGAGGATCGGGTTTGTCTTCAGGTCTGGGCGGGTACGGTGCGGATGCGGGTATAGTGGGCAGCGAGAAGGCCGCAGTGATCAGTGGGTGTGTAGGAGGCCTGCTGCTGGTGGTGATCCTCGTTGCCACTTACTGCTACTGCCTGCCGTCTACTCTCAAGCGACGCCTCAACAGGCGACGCCAGCAACCTGAAGACCCGGAGAAGGCCGCCGCTAGTCTAGTCAACGGCGGGAGTGTCGTGGTGAGGTCCTCCTCCCGCGGCAGCATCCTACTCAACCAGGACCCTGAATCTTCGCGCCAGGACGCCACGGACCTGGCCGATACTCCTTCTGAGGAGAGAAGGGCTACTTGCAAGTCTCCAGAGCTCCAGCCTCCTGCTTGTGAGATCATGCACGTGGAGCAGGTGTCCCCTTCCCCTCTTAGGCGGGAAGGAGACGGCGAGGAAGTTATGGGACGTCGGGGACTCTCTATGTCTATTCCTGACGTGACCAAAGTGGAGCGCTGCTCACGGGAGGCAGAGGAACCTCCTAGTATGCCTACCGTTCCCACCCCACAGTTCTACACGCTGGGGCGCCATACTCGGGCCACTAACCGGAGTCCTCTCCGTGGTCCTAACGGCCATATCTACGGCTCTAGCGACCTGAGTTACCAGCAGGAGCAGCAGCAGCACCCCGTCAGGTACAGCACCGTGGGCGCCCCGCAGTACTACAGCGTCGTCCGTCCACATCCAGTACCCGTGTCGCAGGAGCCATACAGTGACGACGACGCACAATACTCAGATCAGCTCCTGTGTGACGATCGCGGGGCATCACCGCCCCCACCAGCGCCCGCAGATCACGCCCACGCCTACAGTGACCTGCACCGGCACTCCGCTGCCCTCTTGTAGGATGCTACCTGGGACACATCCCACAACCGAAGTATATTATTATGTTTCTGAATGCTCAGTATGGAGGTTACGTAAGGGGGTTTGCTGCTAACGTCAAGAGATTCGTACGACAATCATATGGAATATATCACTTCAATTGACATATCAGTTACAAACATTCCTTTATATTGGGGAAAAATTATTACAAATTTAGTTTTTTTTTTAAATCAAAGAAACTATGATAGAGTGGATTTTATTTTGTTTGATTAAAATATCCAATGAAATATCTTAGAGCTATTTTTTACCCTTTTTTCCTGTTTTCACTTTATCGGGGAAAGCACAACGTTACAAAGATATTAATACCAACTAGATCGGTTATCACTTATACTAAAAGCAGCTGACGCTAGAGAGTGTACGACCATTAGCTGGCCCTGTCAGGTCAGGTGCTTTTGGTCTGTTTACCGCTGTCAGCTGATTTTGGTCGGATATCAGCTGATCCTGATTCGTGAACGGCTGATCCTGGCCTTTGTGTGACTACTGACTCTAGCAAGCTGAACTGCCGGTCAATCAGACGACATTAGCAGCTTTGAACACGTTTATCTACTGCCTCCCCATCTCTTTCAACGTAAAAAACATTAAGGATTCTTAGCCAATCAGAGGGAAACTTAATTGGTCATTCTGAGCTATTGATCACAGATTTCACGTGCGAAATCTAATGCTCTTATAACATTGTTATAATAGTAATAATAATTATTATTTTATTATTGTTGTTTTTGCCGTTATTATTATTATTATTATTGTATCTTATTATTAATGTTCTTATTATTATTATTACATTCACTGGGGAGCTCTAAGCCTGTTGGGGTTACAAAGCACATAATGTACTGGAGGGCATTCAGGCTTGATTTAAGGAACTGGAGCACAGGAATAAATTTCTTTATATGAAAATTCTGGATAGGTAAAAGTTTCTGAAGTCCTTTGCATCACCATGTGAAAGGGAATTAATTTACACATGATCCAACACAGGGAAAGGTAGCTCCCTTTCCCTGGATCAAGAGTTCTAAATCAGCCTCAACTCGCCCCTTCCCTACTCTTCCAAATGGAAAGAGAGAGGAGAGTTTGACATGTAAATCTGCTTCTTTATGTGGGTCTGTACACATAAGTAGTCTCGCCTAATACTCTCAAAGACACAGATTTCGGTTTCATTTTAGGCCCAGACTAGAACTTTATTTATGTAACGTTGACCTGCCCGATAAAGAGTAAAACGGAATCCCATACATCAATCACTGGCTTAATGGAGGGGTAACGCAACACAGTAGAGCAATGCTTTAACACGTAACATTTTGCTCGAAGTCATGATTCAAAAATGCTCATCTTTAAAGCATAACCTTGTGTGGTATAAACCTTGATGATAGATCCCGACAAATTAGTTTAGAAAGACACGTAAGCAAACATTAGGACATATTTATTAGAAAATGTTTTCTAATTAATATGTCATAGTGTTTACTTGGGTGTCTTTGTAAACAATAACGTTGTGTAAACACAGGCTTGCTCTACTAGTCCGGTCTCGGTGTTACTCCCCTCATCACTGAGTTGTCCATTACTAAAATTAAATCATTTCTAACATTCGACAATAGGAACATTATAATGCTGTTTCACTTTTTGTATCACCGACGCGTGTCATCATAAACACTTTTTTTTCCCCTTATTTTGTCGCTGAATATAATTAAATGTCAATGTAACGTTTTATATTATATTTTTCTGCTCGGTATATGTACTCGGGTATTACTTATAATTACATATCAGTGTAATAAAAGCATATCATATATATTTACTGTTGTCTGTAACATATTTCTGTTATATCTGTGTCACTATCATATTATTTGTACATGTTTTGTTTAAAGGCAATATATTGGAACAAGACTCATGTTAGTAATAACAAAAAGAAAACACAGAAAAAATAATTTCGTGTATGAAAACAAGAACCAACTGAGGGGTGATTAAAGTGATAACAGTGGAGGGACGGAAAGAAGAAATAATCTTCAAAATACTCAATATATAATTAGAGTGAGTACATTTTTCTACACAAGTGTTGTACAGTGTGAGTAATTTTTGTTGTTAAAAAATAAATAAAAGAGACACACACAGAAGTGGATGGTTTTAGTAATTGTGGAGTGTGGATTTTGGGGAGAGTTTTGCATTTTGCTTGTGAAAAATTCAAAAAGTTAACATGCGCTATTTTGTGAAAGAACAATTAGGAGTTTATTATTTTTTATATTATATATATTATTATATTTTTTATATATAATATTATATTATATATATATATATAATATTATATATTTTATTTAATATATATATATATAAAATTTATATATATATGAAAGGAAAAAGTCTAACATTTCGTCTGTATATGAAGACATCCTTAAGAATATTATAAGAAAGAGGGTAAACTAACCTAAGAGAAGTTATGGATGATATATATAAATTACAGTTCTTAAAATAAATCTTTTTTCCCTTTATTATAGAACATTTTGATTAACATTTTAAAAAGAATTTGAAGGACGCACTTTTATTCTATTACAGTTCAGTTTTAAACGTTGTAAACAACATACTAAGTTGCTTAGATCTACCAGTAAATTTATTGGATCGATTACTTTTGCTACAAACAAACAATATCATCAACAGCTACCTCTCCCACATGTGGTTGTTTTAAAATATAGACGAATCTTTCACCATAGTACGATTTTGGTAATAATAATAAAAATTTTTAATTTATAAAATATATAATATATAAAATTTATATATTTTATATATATATATATATATTATATATATATATATATATATATATTATTATATTATATATATTATATAATATATTTATATATATTATATATATAAAAATTTTTTAAATTCTTTGATTCCTTTGAAGATAAGACTTTTTGTGCAGTTTTTGGGGAAACCTCGTATTGGGACAAGATAACATTATTCTTAATAAAGACCGTGGCGGTTTTTATGTGATACAAAGTTTTAAACTTTGAAAAAGTGTTTATCCATCAGTGGTAATTACCCCTCTCCCCCCAGCTGCTTCGGCCCCCTCAGTGTTTAAAGACGACGAACCTCGACTCTGTGGTTCGTGGATACATTTCTATGTTTCGAAAAATGAAAAAAAAACCCATTTGCTAGAACAAAACATATGTGTTATCAGGTGTGGGTGATTATACGAGTAAAACACTAAACAAAAAGCTAAAGCACAAGTTTCTCGTTATCATGGATACTTAGAATCGCAGAATGTGGGTGTTGGCATACCCAAAAGAAAGTGGAGAAAAAAAGGGGGCCCAAAGGATTACAACTAAAAAATGTTTAAGGGTCTGAAATTTTTCAAAAATCTTAAAAAAAAGGTGTGAAGAACCAGCCACTACTAGCAAAAAATTTTGGGGGGTTGTCTTATAATTATAATTTAAATTTTTTATGATAAGAAATATAAAAATGTTTATTTTTAAATAAAAATTTTTGTAATTGAAATCAAAAATATATATTTTATTATATTTTTAAATATATTTTTATATATATTATATATATATATATTTTATATATATATATATATTTATATATTATATATTTTATATATATTTATTTTAGATAAAAATGGTTCTGAAAAGGGATTTTCATGCAATTATATTTTTCCTCTAAAAAATTTTAACAAATGCATTAAAAAGATCCCAATGGGCTTTTTCAATTGCACCAAAAAAATTTTAGTAACTTAACCAAACCCAATTACATAAAAAAAAGATCAGTTTTTTCATTATAAATTACATATTTATATGTCGTGCCTAGTAGGTAAATTGAGATTTTGGCTTAAATACAACGCTCTTCTTGCCAAATAAGGCAAGCAAAAAATTTTGTGAAAGCAAAAATTTTCGCAAAAAATTTTTCTGAACCTAACGAAAATATATATTTCTTTGTGTTTTTTACTCCATTATTGTAAATTTATCTAAAAATATTTATTTGGACTAGGCTAAATTAAATTGTGTTGTTATTTTTGGTAAGGGAAAGTTTTTAAGTTCTTTGGTAAAAAATTTTTTAATTTTTGTTAACTAAATGAAAAAATATTTTTAAAAACCCCGTAATAAAAAATTTTAGGAAGGACTTAAATTTTTAAAATGTATCTGGCAAATAACCAAATTTTTTACCTATCGGCACGATATATATAATTTTATTTTTTATATATTTTTATATATTTATTTTTAATTATTTTTTATATATTATATATATTATTTTATATATATATATATTTATATATTTTATTTTATATATATATGCTATATTTCTTGTGTTTTTTATTATTAAATTATTGTAAATTTTAAAGTTTATAAAGTTGGATTAGGCAAAATTAAACGCGCTTTTTAAAAGAAAGGGTTGGAAAATTTTCCAAAGAATCTGTTCGAAAAAATTATTAATTTTTACATTAAATTAAAGGAAAAATATTTTTAAAAACTTTAAGAGAAAATTTTTAAAAAAAGACTTGATTTTTAAATGGGTTCTTGTAATGGGCCCAATTTTACCTTTTGGGCACGAATATATATATTATTTTTTTATATTTATATATATAAAAATTTATATAATATATTTATATATATTAATATATTTTTTATCAGAAAAATTTCACAAAAAAATTATATTTAATATGTTTAACCCAAGTGAAAAGTAAGGGGTTTTCCCAGGTTTTTTCGTGATTGTTCACATTTAAAAGCTTTGTGGCTAATGTGAAAAAGTCACGAGGGGAAACAGGAACAATAATATTTTCACAGTAGTTTTATATATTGAGAGACATTCTACAAATAAAGTGAAAAAAAGGGTGATCATAAAGCTATGTGAAGTACAACATTGCGTTGTTGTTTTTTGGCAGTCATTTTATATATCATTTTCTATCTATAACATCAACAGTCTAGAAAAAAGCCAACGGTAAACCGACTTGATAGTGTGTGTTTCAATGTACTACACTAATGTATCATATCACTTCAGTAGAGGTTTAGCTGTGTTCATAAAATTAGCTGTTACTATGTGCTT